TAGTTGTATGAAGCAAGCTTGGAGGATGCTCTGCTGTTGCTCAAATGCTTTCAGTAAATACAGTTGTTGTTTTTTAATAGGTTACACTCCTGTCCTTTTTTTTTTTTTTTGCATAGCAGAAGTTTATTGAAAGCAGAAAAGAAAAGGAGCTCCCAAGAGAAGGAACTTGGTATAGAACTAAGTTAAAAGTAAGGGAGTTTTTTTGTAAGTCTTTTTTTTTTATTGATTTACTTTTTTTATTAAGTCATAAATAAAACAGTTGAAATATTTCAAGTTTACTTCTAATTTTCAAGATTAATTTTCCCATTTTTCTTATTGGCATTATATACACTTTTTTTTTGTTTGTTTTATTAGTGAAACACCATGAGGTACAGTTGTAGACTTACAAGTTGTTGTGCTTGGGTTTCAGTTATACAATTGATCGTGTACCCATCCCACCACCAGTGCCCATTCTCCACCCCCAACAATCCTGGTATCCCTCCCACTCTCCCATCCCCCATCCCACCCTGCCTCTGTGGCAAGGCACTCCCTTTTGTTCTGTCTCTCCTTTTGGGTGCTGTGGTCTGCAGAAGAGACATTGGGTGGCAATCATGTTCGGACTATAGACCACCCTCAGTATGCATGTCCCATCCTGGGCGGATCTTCCCAGCACCCTTTATTTGGTGCTCCCTTCTCTATCTGAGCTGCCTTTACCCCTAGAGTGTGCGGCTGGCCTCTAACCCATGGAGTGAACAACCTGGTATTTATCACAGTTGTTCTTGGGTGTTAGTCTCTTATTTTGTTACTCTATGTTACCCAGATGAATGCAATCTTTCTATGTCTGTCCCTTTCTTTCTGACTCATTTCGCTTAGCATGATATTTTCAATGTAGTACCACTTGTATGTAAATTTCATGACTTCATTTTTTCTAACTGCTACATAGTACTCCATTGTGTAGATGTACCAAAATTTCTTTAACCAGTCATCTGTTCTCAGGCACTCAGGTTTTTTCCATATTCTAGCTATTGTAAACAGTGCTTCAATGAACAAGTGCAGCTGTCACTTCGACTATACTTTTTTGCCTCTCCGGGGTATATTCCCAGGAGTGGTATTGCTGGGTCAAATGGGAGCTCAATTTCTAATTTTTTGAGAGTCATTCATACTGAAATGGTTACTGGTGGAGGGATGGGTATTCAAAATAAATAAATTTAATTTAAATAAATAAATAAATGTAAAGGGGGGGAAAAAAGTGGGGCAATGAAATGAACAGAAACTTTCTCAAAGAAGAAATCCGAATGGCAAAAAAGCACATGAGAAAATGCTCTACATCATTAATCATCAGGGAGATGCAGATCAAAACCACAATGAGATACCATCTCACACCTCAGAGACTGGCCCACATCCAAAAGAACAAAAGCAACCAATGCTGGCGCGGATGTGGCGAGAAAGGGACACTCCTTCACTGTTGGTGGGAATGTCGACTGGTTCAGCCCTTCTGGAAAACAGTATGGACGATTCTCAAAAAATTAGAAATTGAGCTCCCATTTGACCCAGCAATACCACTCCTGGGAATATATTCCAGAGAGGCAAAAATGTATAGTCGAAGTAACATCTGCACTTGTTTGTTCATTGCAGCACTCTTTACAATAGCCAGAAACTGGAAGAAACCTGAATGCCCAAGAACAGATGACTGGTTAAAGAAACTTTGGTACATCTACACAATGGAGTACTATGTAGCTGTTAGAAAAGATGAAGTCATGAAATTTACATACAAGTGGTACAACATGGAAAGTATCATGCCAAGTGAAATGAGTCAGAAAGAGAGGGATAGACATAGAAAGATTGCATTCATCTGGGAAATATAAAGTAACAAAATATGAGATTAATACCCAAGAATAGCTGAGATCAGCATCAGGAGGATTACTCCATAGCTTAGAGGCCAGCCGGGCATTCTAGGGGAAAGGGCAGCTCAGATAGAGAAGGGAGCACCAAATAAAGGGTGTTGGGAGGATCCTCCCAGGAGGGGAGATGCATGTTGAAAGTAGACTATGGAATGAACATGTTTGCCACTCAAAGCCTCTTTTGCAGACCACAACACCCAAAAGGAGAGAGAGAACACAAGGGATTGCCCTGCCACGGAGGCAGGGGGGGATGGGGGGGATGGGGTGGGAGGGATATTATCCATGGTGGTGGAAAATGGGCACTGGTGGAGGGATGGGTATTTGATCATTGTGTAATCAAAACCCAAGCACAAAAAATTGTAAATCTAAAAATAAATAAATAAATAAAAAAGTCAATTAAAAAAATAAAAAAATAAATAAAACGATCCGTAAGAACTTTCATACCAGAAAAAAATGCAGACCCTGCGGGGCTGGAGTGACAGCACAGCGGGTAGGGTGTTTGCCTTGCATGTGGTCGACCCAGGTTCGATTCCCAGCATCCCCTATGGTCCCCTGAGCACCGCCAGGAGTAATTCCTGAGTGCAGAGCCAGGAGTAACCCCTGAGCATAGCTGGGTGTGACCGCCCCCCCGCCCCCAAAAAAAAGCAGATCCTGTGCTAAACTGCTGTGGTTAAGCATAGCAGATTAGATGATTCTTACACTTAAACCACCAAGCCGCTCACTAGTGTGGGCCTCACAGCTGCGTCCCTCCGAAGTCTTGACTTCTTGACTTCTTGACTTCTGCCTCACCGTCATGAAACAAACCATTGCAAGTTACTTGCCCTTCCGAATTTGGGGAGCTCAGTCTCTCAGGCCCGGAGAAAACGGCCCTCTACTCTTTCCCGTCTTCATTCGCTTACGCAGAAGCTATTACGTTTTTCTGGACCATTGGCAGCTGCAGGGCCTGCTAAGGTAGAACTGACTCTGCGCTGTACTGGGCAGCATCTTTTGTTGGAGGGGGGACTCCTGGATTCTTTTAACTTTCCGCGACGTGCCAAAATTCAGTCTGATGAGCGCCAAACAGTAAACCTTACAGAACGTAGAGACAGTAAACCTTGAAAGTACTCCCCACACTGTTTCTTTCCCCTAGATTAGTTTAAATTACTGTGACTTGCTAAAATTTTAATTTTTTTCCAGATAATAATTGAAGCTTTTTATTAACTTCAAAAAATGACATTATTAATTTTGTCTGCTAAGTTGCTAGTAAACACAACTTTATTATACATTAAACGTACATTTTAAAAAAATATGTATAGTGGGGGCCAGAGCAATAGTACAGCGGATAGGATGTTTGCCTTCCACGCAGGTAATTCAGGTTCGATTCCCAGCGTTCTACATGATCCCCGAACAGCACCAGGAGTAATTCTGGAGTGCAGAGCCAGGAGTAACCTCTAAGCATCATAGGGTATGACCCAAATAGCCAAAAATAAATAAAATTAAAAGTATAGCAGAACCTCTATCTACTATACACTTAAAAAGATAGTTTCCAAGGGCAGAGAGCTCACGGAACCTGACCGTGCAGGTGTGTTGCTTTCTGGTTGCTTTCTGGTGCCGGTGCCTGGGTGGAGCCGCGGTTTCCCCTTGGGCATATCGCTCCGCCCTGCCATTGGCTGCATGTTCTGGCGCGCGCGCGTCCCATTGGCTCCTGCGCCGGCCTGTGCGCCCCGGGCCGCCTCTGCTTGGAGTTTTGTCCCAGGGCTTCAGCAGTCCCCATCTCCGCATGGGGCGTGGGCACTGGGTGCCCAGAACAGCATTCTAGGGGGCTCCTGTGAGCCAGGTGCCACCTGGAGGGCCTCCTGAGTGCAGTTCTGAAGGAGGCTGACAGTTAAAACAGAAGGTATCAAAGGCAAGCCTGCTTCCCCCCTGGGACCCATTGCCTTTTCTCATCAAAGGAAAGGGACCCAAGGCAGGTGTTGGAAGGTCGAGGTGGGCCCGGAGAGACAGGACAGCCGGGAAGGCGCTTGCTTTGCACGTGGCTGACCCTGGTTCCATCCCGGCACCACATCCAGAGTCCCCTGAGCCCAGCCAGGAGTGATCCCAGAGTGCAGAGCCCTGAGCACTAACCGGTGTGGCCTCCAAACAAAACAGTGCCGAACAAAAGAGGCTGGGAAGTGTCAGTTATCATAATGTGCCCTGACTGTCAGAGTGCAGTGAGTCTGGGTCACAGGGATCATGGCCAGGGTGTGATGGGGACAGGAGACTCTCAGCACCATAGCCAACACAGCCTGACAGCGCTGGGCTCAGTCCACAGGCAAGCATAGAGGAGCCCCCATGTGCATATTGGCTGTAAGGATGAAACTGTGGGCCGGGAGAGGCTCAGGTCAGGGGGCCAGGCTGGGAATAGCGCTAGAGTAGCCCTCCAGGCCCCCAGCTTGTCACCCCCCCATCCCCCCATCCCCCAAGTAGCTGGGCCCAGGTAGTGCCGCATCACTGGTCTGAGTACTGGACTTCCCAGCCCACAAAGAACAGTGTTGCTGGTGGTGGTGGTAGCCCAACATACCCTGAGTACTGCTTGGGGTCCCGGAAAAGGAGATTGAGCTCAAGTTCATCTTTCACACAGTGTTCGTCTCAACTAATTCTCAGTATTTCATTATAACGTTCTTAATCTGCAACTCAGAATTTAATAGATAAGCGTTTGCTAAATTTACAGAGAAATATAGTTCATTCCGAGGATCAAAATTATGTTCATAGGGGCTGGAGAGACTGCGGTGGGTACGGCATTTGCCTTGCATGCAGCCAAGCCAGGTTTGATCCCCCGGCATCCCAGAGCACCGCCAGGAATGATTCCTGAGTGCTGAGCCAAGAGTAAACATTGAGTATCACCAGGGGTGACCCAAAATCAACATAAAATAACATTCATAGATTATTCACAAAAGTACCGTCACCAGTTACTGTCTCTGGTGGTTCACATGTGTCCAGCATGAAATGTTAGAGCTGTTTTAAGTGGACGTGCTATGCTCTTCATTCATTAGTGACCCCTCTCAGGCAGATACAGTCATGCACGAATTTGAAGTACAAAAATGAATTTTATTATTCTCCAAAATCATATGAGCTCATTTTCCTGACTTTTTCATAAAATAGATGCTTTCCGACGCAGCACCTGGAAAGCTCAGAATCGTCCATGGAGATGTATTGACATTTAAGGTGGAGAAGGCCTTCCCCGGGACGCTGAAAAGAAAATGGGAGGATGGTGAGTGCCTTTGGGTTGATTTCTTCCTTCTCCCCATAATTCATTTGATCACACATGCTTCGTTTGTTACATATCCGTGTGCTTATTGTGTAATTGCATTACGATTCATGTCAGAAAAGTTTGTTAATGTGCTTTTAGTTTTCTTCTACTGCCCTCCCAGGTACCAACTTCTTTATTGTGTTTTCTAAGTTTGAACTGGGATGTGATCTCGGGCTTTCATTTTTATTTTTTGTTCTTTTCAAATGAACTGAACTTTTTTTTGGGGGGGGGGTGGGGAAGGGTGCACAGCAAGGTGGGCACAGCAGGGTCCCCAACCCAGCCATAGCTCAGAAGTTACTTCTGGTGCTGCACTCAGGAATCACTCCTGGCGGTGCTCAGGGACCATGTGGGTTGCTGGGGAATCAGACACAAGTCAGCCGGCTGCAAGGCAGCCCCAACCACTGTACTGTCTCTCTGGCCCCTGAACCGAACTTCTGAGGGTGCCTCTAGGGTGGGTTTGCTCCCACGAGATGCTTTTGACCAGGTGGTGGGAAGAGACTCGCTCTAGTGAGCTCCTCCCTTCCTTCCTTCCTTCCCTCCCTCCTTCCTGCCTTTCTTCCTTCCCTCCCTCCCTTCCTCCCTCCCCCTCCCTTCCTGCCTTCGCCCATTTCTCCCTCCCTTCTCTCTGTCTTCTCTCCCTACCCTTACTCCTCCCCCTTCCCTCCCTCCTTCCCTCCCTCCCTTCCTTCCTTCCTTCCCTCCCTCCTTCCTTCCTTCCTTCCTTCCTTCCTTCCTTCCTTCCTTCCTCCTCCCTTTCTCTCTTTCTTTCTCCCTCCCTTCCTCCCTTCCTTCCTCCCTCCCCCTTCCTCCCTCCCTCCTTCCTTCCTTCCTTCCTTCCTTCCTTCCTTCCTTCCTTCCTTCCTGCCTTCCTGCCTTCCTGCCTTCCTGCCTTCCTGCCTTCTTTCCTCCCTCTCCCCTCCCTTCCTCCCTCTGCCCATTTCTCTTCCCTTCCATCCTTCTCTCTCTCTTTATGTCTTCTCTCCCTACTCTTACCCCTCCCATCCCTCCCTTCCTCCTTCCCTCCCTCCCTCCTTCCCTCCCTCCCTCCCTCCCTCCCTCCCTCCCTCCCTCTTTCCTTCCTTCCTTCCTTCCTTCCTTCCTTCCTTCCTTCCTTCCTTTCTCTCTTTTCTCCCTCCCTCCCCTCCCTCCCTCCCTCCCTCCCTCCCTCCCTCCCTCCCTCCCTTCCTTCCTTCCTTCCTTCCTTCCTTTTCTCCCTCCCTCCCTTTCCTTCCTTCCTTTCTCTCTTTTCTCCCTCCCTCCCCTTCCTTTCTTCCTTCCTTCCTTCCTTCTTTTCTCCCTTCCTTCCTTTCTCCTTCCCTCCCTCGCTTCCTTCCTCTCCTTAGTCAGAAACCTGAGTACTTTGACTAAGGAGGTAAAGTTTTCTCTTCATAATCTAAAGCTGATTGTGGGAATCGTTGCCTTAAAGAACAAAGTCGCTGGGAAATTCTCCTTCCACAGATGGAGGGGGCAGTGTGTGTGGGGGTGGGGTGGGGTGCTGAGATGGAACCACACCAGCCCCCCCAGCAAGACCCAGCCCCGGCTCGGGCTGCAGCTGTTGGTGTGCTGCTTTCACTAGCTGTGATTGTACTTTTAACTTCCACTTTGTTCAGACTGTATCAATGAAATCCGGTCAAATTGTTGTTCTCTTCCTGTCACCCAGACCCGCCAGACGTCCATATTATCGGAAACCTGCCTTTTAGCGTGTCCACGCCACTTATCATCCAGTGGCTGGAAAACGTTTCTCAGCAGGATGGGCCTTTCACGTACGGCAGAACCCCGATGACGCTGACATTTCAGAAGGAAGTGGCGGAGGTAAGGATCACTTTCGGGGGCTCGTACGGGGTCATCGAATTCCATGACCAAAAGGTGTTTTCTCCTGGCGGTGTTTTCTTACAGAAAGCCCCAGCACAGTGCAGACCAGAGTTGGCACCAGAGGCTCCCAGGAGTCTCTGCTCGCAGCTGAGAGGGAGTGAGGGGCTCGGGGCCTCAGGGAGTGAGGGGCTTACATGGGCCCCGGGGGGTTTGAGCCTCACTCTTGCCCCTGGCTGGGCTCTCTTCACTCCTAGACAGGAAGCCTGCCGGGACCGGCTGCTTCTCAGCTACAGGGAACCAAGGATGGGATCTGTAGGTGCTGGTGTTCGTGTTAGGACGAATAGTTAGAAAAGAGCCTGTGTGCATTTGTGTGTGTGTGTGTGTGTGTGTGCGCGCGCATGTATGTGCATGTGTGTGTCTGTGTATGTGCGCATGTGTGTGTGTCTGTGTGTATGTCTGTGTGTATGTATGTGTGTGTATGCATGTGCATGTGTGAGTCTGTGTGAGTGTGTGCGTGCATGTGTGTATGTGTGTGTGTGTGTGTGTCTTCACAACTAAGTCAAGGGCATAGGTTAGTCACCTTCTCACATGCCACATCTGCCGTCTCCCACCTACCCCCAGTGTGGTCAGTACCAGGAGTTTGCCACACCCACTCGCTGGCATCTGAACTACCACGTGGATTTTTCTCTCTCTGCGGTGAATAAGCTCCACTTTTTTTTTTTTGCGTTTTTTTTTTTTTTTTTTTTTTTTAGTGAAACACCATGAGGTACAGTTGTAGATTTACAATTTTTTGTGCTTGGGTTTCGATTATACAATGATCAAATACCCATCCCTCCACCAGTGCCCATTTTCCACCACCACCAGTCCCAGTATCCCCCCCACCCCCCATCCCCCCATCCCCCCCGCCTCTGTGGCAGGGCAATCCCCTGTGTTCTCTCTTTCCTTTTGGGTGTTGTGGTCTGCAAAAGAGGCATTGAGTGGCAAACATGTTCAGTCCATAGTCTACTTTCGACATGCATCTCCCCTCCTGGGAGGATCCTCCAAACACCCTTTATTTGGTGCTCCCTTCTCTATCTGAGCTGCCCTTTCCCCTAGAATGCCCGGCTGGCCTCTAAGCTATGGAGTAATCCTCCTGGTGCTGATCTCAGCTATTCTTGGGTATTAATCTCATATTTTGTTACTTTATATCCCCCAGATGAATGCAATCTTTCTATGACTATCCCTCTCTTTCTGACTCATTTCGATAAGCTCCACTTTTGCCCATCCTTTGTACCCAGGGAGTCACGCAACATGCGCTTTTGTTCGTGTGTTTGAAATCCTGAGTCATCCTGTGTCGGGTTGGTTCGTGTTCCTCACGGCTCCGGTTCCCTTCCTGATTCCCATCGGTCTTTACGCTGCCCACTCCGGGCCATCCCCTGTCTGTCCCTTCTCCCGTTTGGGGGCCCTGAATTCATTTGCGTCTTTTGTTATTGCCAAGAGAACGGTCGTGAGTGTCCGTGTGTGTAGGGCAGCCGGAGCTTGTAGACAGGGTGTCTCTCGGGCTGCCCCCCAGAAATGGAAGTGCTGAATCCTGAGTCTCGATCCCTCCCCACTGGGCAGTGCCAAGTTGCCCTCTGGTCAGAAAGCAGGTGGGTGGCGCCTCTGCCCCGTGCTGCTTATTATAAGACACCCCCTGAATTCCCTGTGCCTGGGTGCCCCGAACCTCACCCAACCTCTGCCATAGCTGATATGTATGTTTCTGTTCATCTGGGGAGGATGATATTTTATGTTCTTTTCCTTTTTTCTTCTCTTTTATTCATTTCTGATGAAAATTAAGCCACATTTTAGATTTTTTAGCTTTTTGGGTAGCCTCGTTTTTTTTTTTTAATGAAGTTCTTGCCTTTCACCCATTTTCTGTGGGCTGCTCGTCCTGCCAAGATTTGCAGGGGTGTTTGCCTGCTCTTCATACTCTCTTTTATTAGTTAAACGCGTTGCGTATTTCTTCTATCCTGTGACACGTTATTATCTTTTTATGGCATCTTTTAAAGAGCAGACATTCTTAATCTCAAATTTACGGTTCTTTCTGTGTCTTGTCAGAGAAACCCTTTTGTGTCCTGAGATCATGAAGACGTTCAGGAAGCTTTATTGTCTTACCTTACATGAGTGTATCTGTAATCCCCTTGAGGTTGATTTTGTGTGTCGTTGAAATAGAAACCATTTTCGCCGTTTCTTGCCTATGGATCTGAATTCGATCACGATCACGACCATCCTGTTACTCATAAATTGTCTCAAGCAAGCCCCAGTAACGTTTCCTTCATCCTAGCCCTGAGATTTTTTTAAAAAATGCCATATTCAAGGCTCTTTCAGAGTTAGGAGAATGAGACCCATCATTGTTACTGGTATTTGGCATATTGGGTACGCCACGGGGAGTTTGCCAGACTCTGCCGTGTGGGCAGGTTACATTCAATAGCCTACCAGTTTGTCCAAAGTAGGAATGAGATAATAAGATGTCGCACGGCCGCGAATGCAGCCGTGCACTTCCGGGAGCTGGGTTTTATAGTCTCTGAGTCTTGGCTGTTGATGGGATTACACGGTGCCAGGGGGCCAGTTGGTGGGTGTGACCCCCGCCTACTGGAATTTGGGGGATCTGGGTGGAGGATGCTCAGCCTCGATCCGAGCAGGCTTGGAGATCTCAGCCCCGGGACCCGCGTGCCTTTGTTCCTCTGCCGGTACCTTCATGCGTGTGGAGAATGGTCTCAGCATGGTGGTGGCTGGTTCTGGAGGTCTTCGGCTGCCGGAGCCCTGGTCGGGGTGGGGAGGGAAACTCAACCCGCTCCCCTCCAAGGGGCCCTGGCGAGGACAGCCAGGCGCGGGGGCAGGAGACTCTACAGGAGATCTGAATTCACCTCGCCCCATTTATTGAAAACACCTTCCCTTGCAAACTTCTGTCAATGCTTCTGACATAATCACCAAAGCCTTGTAGGCTTTGTTATAACGAGAGACACCGAGAAGAAGGATGGAGTGAAATCTCGAGAATAAATGACCCAGTCCAGGAGAGGCAGGAGGGACTTTCCAGAGAGAACATTTGGAAAGATGGGAGCTGATGAAGGAGGAAAAACTTTTCAAAATAGCTTTCATGTCTGTGTCTGTTGAAAAGCCGTCAGTGGTTCGTGTCGAGAAGAGTTGCCCGTTGAATCAGTGCTCGGCAACTGAAAAGCCGAGGACGGCAGGAATGGAAGCACATGGCAGCTACGTTCTGGGGAAGAGAAGGGAAGATGGTGTAGAGAAAGACGGTACTTTGTTTTGGGAACCTGGGGAGAAAACCGGCAGCTCTGCGCAGGTGATCCTAGAACTCAACTGCGAGTCTGCAGAGATCACTGAGCTCCAGCGAAGAAAATGGCACAGACCCTCAGCAGGACAGTGGAGATGCTCATTTCCCCCATGACAGTGTTTGTTCGGGGCCTAGGAAGGCAGAGATGTTCGGGCATCGTTGGAGGGACCCATATGCGCATACGAATCTTTTCAGTTATTCCCACTTCTCTTCCCTTCGCGTTTCTGTGTGTCTCGGGCTTGCATGCATTCGATGCAGAGATCACCAACAGCCACAGGGAAGCAGTGTATGCTGGCCAGCTGGGGCTCCACCACTGAGCTATCCCTGGGCCCCTGCATGAGAAGTTTGGAAAAAGGAGAGTAAACAGAGAAGCCGGAGAGATAGTACAGCGGGTGGGGCTCTCTTGTCTTGCATGCAGCCGACCCAGGTTCAATCCCCAATGCCTTCTATAGTCTCCTGAGCCTACCAGGAGTGATCTCTGACCACAGAGACAGGAGTAAGCCCTGAGAACTGCTGGCTGTGCAACCCTCCCACCTCCGCCCCTCCCCCCCCAATAAAAAGCAACAACAAAAGTGTAAGGAGAGATTTGTGTCTTAGATGTTAAGACTGTAAAACCTGAGCCACCACGGCAGTTGGATGTGGCCAGAATAGAAGCCCAGACACGGACTAGCTAGTGAAGGCTAGTTAGTGACCCAGTCATGGGTCACCAGCGGGAGAAAGGGATTGGCGGAGCAAGTGCATGGATATTTGGTTTATTCTTTTGAGGGGGGTTGGGGGGATGGATGTTGATTTCCCAATACAGAAAAATTCCAGTTACTCTTGTCTTCAGATTCGTCACTCTTTTCTGTCATGCCTGATCTATTGATTTTACCGGGTATGTCTATTCCAGAGAGTGGATTTTATGGCTCGTGACTCCACTGGGTCTTATTCTGCCTTCCCTTGCAGTCCTGGTTCTTACTGCCCTTGGAGTCCGTGTGCAGAGGCACAGTGTTCAGAACAGGTGTTTGAAGGGCTCAGCCCACCCGCGTCATTCCCTGTCATATCTGCACACTTCCACACTTTCCTTCTGCTCTCCTCCGTCCTTGGGCTTCCTTGCAAACCTGCTGCATTTTTACAAGGTATCACCCAACGTGAGCTGTTGGTTTTGTTGTTGTTGTTGTTGTATTTTCCAGTGTCCAGGGCAGGATTTTGTTGCATTGGGTTGAATAGTGGGTTTTCTTTTTCTTTTTTTTTTTTTTTTTTTTGTGCTTTTTGGGTCACACCCAGCAATGTTCAGGGGTTACTCCTGACTCTGCACTCAAGAATCACTCCTGGGCGCATATGCTGCCCGAGCCCGTGTGCTGCTTGCGCCCACGTGGCCGAGCACATGCAGTGCCTGAGTACATGTGTCGCCCGCATCTCCCCTCTTGAGATGTGTACTTTCATGTTTTCCTACCTAATGCTGGGGTATGTGTAGGGGCCCTCTTGGCCGTTGAAGGAGCCCACGTTCTCTCTTGAGCGCGTCGCTCTGTCTCTCTTCCTCTCCACTCTCCCACTTTTCTCTTCCTGCTTCCCTTCAAAAATCCTCCAAATCTCTTTTACTTCAAAAAATGGAAAAAAAAAAAAAAAAGAATCACTCCTGTTGTTGCCCAGGGGATCATATGGGATGCTGGGGATAGAACCCAGGTTGGCCACATGCAAGGCAAACACC